TAATTTTTTCCTAAATTCTGTGTTTTTATGATTATTATTATTATGATTATACGGATTATTGTTATGATTTTTATTTTTATTGATAGATTTGCTTAAGCTGTTTCTCGCTCTTTCTTATAATTTTCAGAAGCTCATCTTCATAATCTAATTTTGAGTTCTGTGTGTTCGATTAACTCGATCTTTGGGAATCCACTGGAAAGTTTTGTAGGCCATAAGATTTTAAATTTTACTGTCGAAAACAATGTTTCAAGGGAAAAAAATATCAAATCAGATCATAATAAGTCTTGTTTTTAGTGCAGAAAACGATTTGTACCAAAACTTCACGCCCCCCATCTGCTTTATTACGCATATCCTCAAACTTTACAATTTCATGCTCATGAGCCAAGTTTTTTGTACGAGTAAGAAATCTTTAACAATGAACTGTTTAGATATAAAATTGGAATTAAATTTGTATTTTGACCTTTTGTCTCGAAAGAAGCACTTTATTGAAGTGTTTCTTACGAACCCTCAAAATTTTAAAAAAGCTACAGACGCCTCCCTGATTTAAATTCCAGTTTAGGCTTTCTGTCTGTGGACAGCTATATCGTCGTTTATTATAATAGTTTCGAGCTTTTCGAATATCTATTAGCGCTACTGGCAATCAATTATGATCGATTTGTATTCATAATTTTTATGTCTCGAGCGGTTAAGATTTATCTTGCTTTTAAGGACGCAGGATTCGATTCTTTACTTCTGGAATATCGCTTGTCGTTCGGCGCAAGACAGAGCATGATTGTAATGTTTTTTTTCTGTTCAAGTATACTCATTTGATTAGTAGCTCGGTCTAAATCTCTAATGACTGGTATCAATTACCATCAATGTTTACATAGTTAAATAAAAATGAATGTATGAGCTTCATTTCATTAATAAGGTTAATCATGTAATTTTTCATAGCATGAAATTGCATGACATCATACAGTGATGTCACACTACCTCACAAGAAGAAATCTTCGCGTGTGGTTAATTTTTGACTGTTTACAGTTCAAATAAGTCATTTTAAAAAATTTTACAATCAATTTGACAAAGCATATACTACTACAGGAAAATTTTTCATGTTTTTATTAGGTTATCGAAAGAAAAAGTTCACACTCAATGATTTAGAAGCACAGTTTTTTACTTCAATTTATATTGTGAAATAAAATTGAATTGAGTTTAAATGGGAAATATTTTAAAGGGGACAGAAAGCCACATTGAATCGGGTTATGAGAGTTAAGTGATACATGATAAGGTCAGTTCGATAATAGCATGACATTGTTTTTATCAACTGTAAAAGATTTTGCGCGGCAATTGATGTGGCGTGTAATATTTATGTTCTTTGCTTTCTTTCATTTGTTTTTTGTCGTATCGCTTCCTTCAATCGTTTTTTAGGCATGTCCTTCACATTTTTCTCCATTGATGCTGCAGTTGATTGTTTAAGTTAACATGGGCGGTTTGCTTCTTTTATTAGCCTCATTAGTTGTGAATTGGTTACCAACAATTTGACAGTGCTCTGTTTTGTCGAAAAGTTCAGGATTTTATTTTCGAAGTTGACAGCTAGTAAAGCAATTTGTACTTTGATGCACGTGCTTATTAGTTGTACTGTTGTTTTCAAATATCAACTGATAGTTGGAAAGTGTTCTCATCTTCTTCCTTTGGGTGTTTTTGCCTCTGGTGGCCTGACTTATTTTTTTTGTAAAGTCAAAATTCCACATTTTCAACGAAGTTTTGCATTTTGTCGCAATCAACGTCCTTTTGTGCAGAATCTGGCTTTTGTGTTGTATTTTTAATTCTTCTACAGACGTTGCACTTCACTCTTACCAGCGATTCCAGGTAATTGCTGGCTCACTTGGCAAAATTTGGCGTCAAGATGAATTATTGATGATAAATTTGGATTTTTCATTAATTTTTTGTTTGTTCTCTAGGGCTTATCGTGCTTTCACTGTTTTAGAGAAATTGTTGAGTATCTCTGAAAGCCTTTTGAGGTTGTCCCAAATATTCCATTGGATGTTTTCTGGCTCATTTGGGAGTTTTCTGTTCGCAATTCTGAAAATATATCCCTCAAAATGTGTTTTTCTTGTTTCTCCTATCTTAAAACATGGGATTGTTTCTATTTGATTTATATCTCCAAAAAGTGGTATGCTAGTAGACTCATTTCTTGCACGTTCCTCATTGGTGGTTTGAAGATCACTGAGCCCAAGAAATTAGGACTTACATCGATCGTTTCTGAATCGCGTTTGGCAAAGTCTCTTGTCTCGAGTTTCGAATGCTGCTTTGCGCTTCATTCGCGATGGTTCTTGGGCCATGTTTTGTTCATTGTTTACGAGATTAACAGTAGTTCTTTTGCTACCGCTGCATCGTGCATCGGCTCGTTGTTAAGGAGTCCATCGTTATATTCAAAATCAGGTGGGGCTAATGATTCTGGGTCTGGGTTAGGCGGAATTGCTGATGTAGTCAGTGGTTTTTTGGTGGCGGTACCGGTGGTAATGGCGCAACTATTGGTGCTGCTACTGCTGGAATTGGGGGGACGACTGCTGGAGTAATTGGTGCTGCTGCGGGTCCTCCAATGGGTATTGATAGTCGGATTCGTGCAGGTGCATCGGGAAGGTTGCTATGTCCACCGTTCTCGGGTTGGATATCGTCTAAGAGTTCAGGCAAAGAATCGCGGAAGAGTCCTGGTTCACTTCGATACTTGCCAAGTGATGAATACGTTTCAAATTTACTTGGTTCAATGGTTTTGGGATCTTCTGGTTGATGTTGTGGAACAACAGGTCTGATACGAATCCGGTGTACGCATTGTGTGTAATTATTTCACATTTTACAAATGATGTAGTTTGATTTTGTCAATACTTTCTCTACTCTGTACAATGGTATCCAGACTTGCATTGATTTGCTTCCAAAATCTGATTGAATTGTCGACAAAGTGTTTAATAATAAACAAAAAGAATTCAGTTTCAGTGGCTGGGCAAGTGCTTTTTGATCGTAATATCCTCGGTGTTTCTGGTATGCAGAAATTAATTTCTTTTTCGTTTTTTTGAACTTTACTAACATCGCATTTTGCATTGCCGTAGCAAAATCGGATTCGGCTGTCGTTGTTTCCATTGCTTTCGTTGAGAAGTGGGGATCAAGTGGTTTTGTCGGTTCTCTTCCATGGAAAATTGAGCTTGGGCAGCATCCAATTGAAGAAGAGCATGAAGTATTGTGGATGAATGTTGCCAGTGGCACATATTTGTGCCAATCTGACCATTGTTCATTGGTGTTCAGATTTAGGATTCTTTTAAGAGGTCCATGAGAGCGTTCGACAAGGCCGATAGTCTGCGGGTGTTTCAGTGTCGCATGGTTAATTTGAATTTCGAGCAAAGTTGCCATTTCGTGCATGATTTCTGACGTGAATGTCTTTCTGAGATCAGCTAGGTTTTTTTTTCGGGATATCGCTAAGAATAAAAAACATCGTTGTAAGTTTTCTTGCAACAGTATCCTTCGGATGGCTGTGTACAGCTATATCGTCGTTTATTATAATAGTTGCGAGCTGTTCGAATATCTATTAGCGCTACTGGCAATCAATTATTATTTATTTGTATTCATAATTTTTATGTCTCGAGCGGTTAAGACTTATCTTGCTTTTAAGGATGCAGGATTCGGTTCTTAACTTCTGGAATATCGCTTGTCGTTCGGCGCAAGATAGAGCATGATTGTTTTATTTTATTCTTTTCAGGTCTACCCATTTTTATTAGTAGCTCGGTCTAAATCTCAATTACCATCAATTTTTACTTAGTTAAATAGACACAAATGTATGAACTTCATTTCATTAACAAGGTTTATTATGTAATCTATTATAGCATACGAATGCATGACATCATGAAGTGATGTCACACTGATTTGACCCTTTAATTTTTTCCTAAATTCTGTGTTTTTATGATTATTATTATTATGATTATACGGATTATTGTTATGATTTTTATTTTTATTGATAGATTTGCTTAAGCTGTTTCTCGCTCTTTCTTATAATTTTCAGAAGCTCATCTTCATAATCTAATTTTGAGTTCTTTGTGTTCGATTAACTCGATCTTTGGGAATCCTACTGGAAAGTTTTGTAGGCCATAAGATTTTAAATTTTACTGTCGAAAACAATGTTTCAAGGGAAAAAATATCAAATCAGATCATAATAAGTCTTGTTTTTAGTGCAGAAAACGATTTGTACCAAAACTTCACGCCCCCCATCTGCTTTATTACGCATATCCTCAAACTTTACAATTTCATGCTCATGAGCCAAGTTTTTTGTACGAGTAAGAAATCTTTAACAATGAACTGTTTAGATATAAAATTGGAATTAAATTTGTATTTTGACCTTTTGTCTCGAAAGAAGCACTTTATTGAAGTGTTTCTTACGAACCCTCAAAATTTTGAAAAAGCTACAGACGCCTCCCTGATTTAAATTCCAGTTTAGGCTTTCTGTCAATATTCTCGTGTTCTTTGACAAAAATGAAACAATCTTCCGTACGAATCACGTCATATATTGCGGACCACGACTCGATCTCAACCATGAGCCCCCTCATGTTTTTTTTCTAATTTTGGATTGATTAAATTTTGCAATACCACAAAGTTTTTGTAAGTACTCTTAATTCTGATAGCTTCTAAAATGCCGCATGTGTCAAAGATCTAAGACACAAACATGCGTCAAATTATTTTTAATGTAAATATGCAAGAAATTTCAGTGCAGAAAACTAGTCGCCAAGTCTTTCTGCTATCTATGAGCTGATACTGAACTTTTGGGGAGTGTTACAGAATAATTTTATCGAATCAAATGTGCCGAAAAACAGCATGAACAAACCAATCATAACGTGCAAATGCACGTTTTACCTATTACACCAAAAATAAAGTGAATAAATAATATGTGCAAAACGTGCAGTGTTTTCTCGTAAGAAAGATATGAACTTTTTATTTTATTTCTTTGGTCTTCATAAGTTTACTGCATATTTTCAACGTTTTGTTGAGCTGTTTTGCTAAAAGTGCATCATTATATTTTTCATATGCTACATTTGATCGCTTTTTGCCTTTTTTAGCAAAAAAAAACATAAGTATTGAATTTTCTTTTGCGTTCATTCAGTGAAGTCGTGAGTTATTACACGAACTGTGTTCATATAATAAAATTACTGTAAAGTTATAAGTTTACTTTAGAAACTGGTCCTCGATAATTGTGATTAAACATGGGCTGTGATGAGTGGCAACGCGATTTGGTTAGGAACAAGAACGACTTCCTTGGTTTCCTGTGGAATCCTAACACCAAAGAGGTGAGAGCAATTTGAGGGGTAATTTTACTTGAACGGTCCAAAACAATAAAGTTTTTTACCGTGTTTAGGGGCGAATTATGAAGGGTTTGAGGCGGACGACTCGGGAATCTGATTACTTTAATGCCCAAAGGGTCGTCCTTTGATAAATTTTACAATCTCCGATTTTCAGCCGACAGGCCCTACTTTCTAAGGCGCCTTTAGAGCCAATATATACTAATTTTTAGAAAGCGCGCGCCTACACCTTCCAAAATATGGCCTTCAGCGTAGAAAATTTTTGGAAAAAGGGGTTTTTAAGCTTTTTAGGAGAGCTCGGAAATTCAATGTAGTTTTTTTTAAATTGCAGTAATTTTCTCTTACAATTAATCTCTTTGATTTATTCCATTGCATGCAAACTAGGGATTTTTGTGAGCCTGGAACCACCGTTTTTGAAGCCTAGGGTCACTTGCCTCGTTATCTTTCAGGGTAAAAATTAGTTGCTTCGGTTGGTCTAAAAACTGACTAGTCTTCGATATCAGACCGTCTTCCATATAATCTAGAAAAAGTAATGAATTCTTTGACGGGATTTCAACATCGCGGACGGCGTAATTTGAAATTGATTCTTAATGGATAAAATTTGACAATTTGTCGCTAAAGCCGATATGGCTCTTTTTCCTTTCCCCTATCACACAAGCATCAATTTTATGGTGTAACGAGGGGTTTTACAAGGTTGAATATGAATGCTTAATCCGCATGTAAATTTTCATGACAATCGGGCAATGCAAACAAGTTTTGTACTTGTAAAAATTCGCAGGTGGGGTGGGGGCTCTTGGAGGAAAAAGGAAAAAGAGCCGAAGGCACTTCATAACTCTGTATAGTTTGTCTTGGTATTCCAGTGTGAACTTTGAATACCACGTAAAATTTTGTCCATAATGGATTTGTTCTATACTTTTTAGCACAAAATTTAGAAGGCTTCATTGGTGGGAAAAGTTATGAATAGGATTGAGTGATTTTATGTATGCTTATATGTGTGGTTGTTAGGTGTGTGGCCGTACAGCTGCCAGCTGGTGTGAGATCATGGTCTTCTATGTCTTCTTCTATGGCCTCCTCGCTGCCTGGTGGGCTTCACTGCTCTACGCCAGAGTCTCCTTCCTCCCAGAGATAGCCGATGGTCCATACCACATGGAATACATCCCACACAGGGGTCCAGGTAAGAGCAGATATGCATGTATGAAACAGTTGTTTATCATTTACAAACTGTATTTAAAAACATACCATCTTGAAAGAACACCAAAAAGGCCAGTTAGCTGTGGTGTCTTCATTTGCTGCCTTCTTTTCACCCCTCCTCCCTCCCTCCTTCCCATAAAAAAGCCGCGAAAATTCCCAAACGGCGGCATCAATTTTCAATTATTATGAATTAGCCTTTTATTTGAATGAATTGCGTTTTTATGTGAATTGGCGTCTTTAATTGACTTGCTTTTGGTCTAATAAAAAAAACCTATCATCCCCTAGAGTATCCGTTGCCTCTTGCACAGCAGCCGAATATATTTTTTTTCAAGTTTTGGAGAAATTGACTCTGAAAAGCTTCAACTAATGTTCCTTATAGGATTACAACTTATTTCTCAGTTGTTGTGTGTCTAGGAATGAGCATGGTTCCGGTCGACGAGGACGGAGATAAACAGCTCACCTTCGACATAGACTCCACGGAAGCATACAAGGACAAGATCGAACAGTTCTTCAAAGGTATGCCAATTATCATAAACTGCTTGCAATAGATTAAATTCACTGTAAAATTCAGATTAGGGGCGGACCTAGGATTTTCTTGGGGGGGGGGGGGGGGGGGGATTTAAAAAAACCGAAAATTTTGTCGACCTTTTTTAAGTCCAAATTGACCAAATTGATTTTGCGAGCTCTCACAAAGCACTAAAAAGACCCCTGTTTTCGACAAATTTTCTGCGCCACAGGCAAAAATTTGAAAAAACAGGCCAAAAACGTTTCTTTTTGGCGCGCCCTTCCCCTTCAAAGTTAGTAAATATTGGCGCCGAAGTCGCCTTTAAAAAAACTTTAGGGTTTGTCAGCCAAAAATGGATATCTCAAATTAGGACAAAGGGGGACCCCCCTTCCCCTCTAAATCCGCTGGTGATTCAGAACATTCAAAACAACATCAAATCTCATTGCGAGAGGGTCGTTGACCTTTGCAGCCCGTTTTCAGGCGCCTGTAGTTTTCATTCCATGATATTTGACCCAATGATAGCAGCACAGCTGATTGTAAGAGTTTAGTCGGCAGTAGTTTGGCTGAATTATTAAAATTGTTTTTATTTAAGTTTATACCTTGTTCTCTTTCGAGCTTGCGCACTGCCTGTAAGAATTCTTTCTCTCTGTTAATTTAATTTATAAGACTCCTTCCTATAATCTATTGACTTCTTGTCAAAATTTAAATTGATCTTAATTTTTTCCCATAGTGGACCTCATGCGCTCAGATTAGAAAAAAAAGATGTTCTTGTTTTAACAACACTTTCTGCAGAGAAATAAATCAAAAACTGAAACTTCAACATTAATCATTATTTTGTTTAGCGTACACTTCCATAAACGGACACGACTTTTCGACTGAATTTGAGATGTGTGGCGAGGATTTTGAGGGTGAGTGTGTTGACAACGGGGGTGAGTCATACTTGGGTGCCATGACCATAGAAGTGCCAGAGAAGGAGGAGACGGAAGAAATTGAGAAGGAAGAACTGGAACAAAAGGAGAACGAAGCCGCCGCGAAGGAAGCAGAAGCAGCCCCATTGAAGGATGGAGTGGTAGAAAACGAGAGTGAAGCAGCGGCATCAGAGGAAGCGGGACAAAACCAAACTGAAGCAGCCGCGGATGAGCCGATAGTTGAGAGGCGTGCTCGGAGGTAATAAAAACGACCTTAAAATGCTTACAAACTAATTAAATGAGCTGGTAAATGGTTCAGAAGTTACAAAACATTTTTTTACTAACAAAAAAAACTTTTTTTAGGGTTTCAGATTTTTTACGAAAAAAGAGAAATTTCTCTCGAGTATACAAACAATTTCTTTATTTTTGCTTTTGCTTTTATGGTTTTTGTCTCTTTAATTAAGATTCCTTCGATGTTTCATGGCCTCTGAAGTTTTCAATCAGCTTATAAAGATTGGTTTGCAATCAATTTATTTAGATAATACAAATAGCAATGATTTCAAAAGCAATCGAGTATTTCATGACGATATCTGCTTAACTGTTTCTTCCAAACAAAATCCATTAGTTTTAAAAAATGAAATGCTTTCAAAATTTCCGCGTGGCTAAAGAAATTGAGCGAGTCTTGTTATCGAACCATTTTTTCACAACTTACTCATGTTCGTCACAAAACGAAATAAAAACTGATGGATGGGCACCCCGTAGTTGATGCCGGCTATGTGAAATATTTATGGCTACATCATCAAAATAGTCGATAAAAATTTCAAAAGCACGAGCAAACAGTTTTCAAGAGAATTTCAGATGTAAAAGGATATGTACGTTTCTTAAAACTATTTAGGCCGCATTCAGAGTCTTCTTTTCTAAACATCATACTTAAAACCTATACTAGTATATGGTACAGTTGATTGGAGTTGCATTTCGAAAAAGTGGTGGAACCAAACTCTTAAATGCAAAAACGAGCTCGGCGTATACTGCAAGATAAAAACTTTTCTTTTCTCACAGATTTATTTTTTCAGCAAGCGAATAAAACACCGTTTTTCAAACACTTGTTGATTATAAAAGATGATTTGTTCTCCCGCATCAAACAACTTAACCTCACACAAACTAGTTGTTGTTACTCTGCGTAACAATCGATTTGAATCGATTTCAACCTCAAACTTGTCAGTGATGGCATCAGGTCGATTACCCAATGTATGATACGGTAACGAATATATGACTGAGTTATGGTACATGCTTAGGTCCTCGGATGAGACTGAGGAGGATCCGAAGAAGGTGAAGTTGTTCAACCTGTTCAATCTGGGCGAGTGTTTCTCGGACCCTGACTACGGGTACGCAGGGGGGGAGCCATGTGTCTATTTCACCATAAACAAGGTCTCTTTTTGATAATGACGTCCGTGCTATGGTTTTTTAGCAGACAGTTCTCACTTACAATTAACAAACATAGCCAGCAAAGTGGAAAGAAAAATTGGTTGGAAAAGTGTATCAATGAACTCAAGGCCGAAACCATCTGTTTTATTTTTCCAGTGCTTCAATTTTTGAGCTTTTAAAAAAAAACTTTTTTTTTGCAGATTCATTCAGTCAGTGGCACTTAAAAAATGACAATAGGTCGAAATACAGCTGACAATTGGTTTCTGCGAATTGCTAAATCAATTTTATTTTTTTTAAAAAAAAGGTTTGAGCAAAATCTTTTACGTCGAGGAAATTTCAAATATCTCAGAGCCTGGTTGAACGTTTAATGACCGCCAACTCTGGCTATATGCTCCCACTTCGAAATCAACTCATTTTTACCCTTTGCAGGCGTTCGGTTGGAAGCCAGAGCCTCTAAGTGGAGACAGGAAGACAGAAGTGGAAGAGGCGACAGGGCAAACTACCAGTCCAGACTTTATTCCCTTTATCTGCCAAGGAATCGTAAGTTATTGTTCCGGCAGACGCACAAAGTAGCTGGCTGAGTTTTTGTCATCGCATCAATCTGGTTTTTCTTCCAGACACTTCGTGACACTCGAAGTACAGTTATTGTTGAGGAATTTCTTATTAGCTAGGAACTAGGTTTGAAAAATGTTCACTTATACGTTTTTACCTATTTGGCCTCGCGCGGAAAACCAGCGATGCAAAAGCGGGAAAACAGTTTTTTCCATCATAAAATTAGTCATTTTATACTAAATTTTAGCTACGCATAAGCAGTAAATTGGCGCTAGGACTAACTTATGTTTGGAAATCCATAAACGTCAAATCTTCAAAAAACTTTTACCGTGTTTGTCATTTAGCAGGTAATGGCAATAATGACGCCTTTAAAGTTTTGGACATTTTTCCATTGCTTGCACAAAGAGAAATTGCTGAGAACTTGAAGATTCAGCACTACAAAATTCCATGTTTTTTTTCAAAATATTTAGCGCAGGACTAGTTTTTTTTCCTCTCAGACTTCTCAAACTACTATCCAAAGTAATATATCCCCACAAATCAATTATTTTTGTATTATGGTGGTAAAACCAACGACTAGCGGGCTACAATCCAAAACAAAGTAACAGTTTTTAATCATGCCTTGAGATATTATAGAATCCAAAATGACGAACGATGAAATACGGTTGTTTGTTTTTAGCTCAGTCAGTTGTGATTTGCATTACAAAAACTCGAATTTGTCGATTTTCTCTCAGTATTGAGAAAAATTGAGCAAACTACAGTGGTGATTTAAATTATCCGGACAAATTGAATAAAACTTTAATTTCCAAACACGTTTTTCTCAAATTGGGTTAAGATTAGACAAAACTGAAGAGAACAAAAGTTGCTTACAATTCCATCAGAATTAATATGAAGCAATTTTTTCTGCAAAATTCTTAACCAAAATTTTACCCAAAAAATGGGCCATTTTGGTTTTTTTAATGAATCAAGAAATACGCTGAAACTCAGCCCAACAAAGTTCTAGAAGGGCCAATTCTCCAAAAACCAGTATAAGAGAAAATAATTTTGCTTGATATTCAAGAAGCGTGATTTTTACTATATAAACCCAAAATCTTTGATTAAAAACAAATTTTAAACAATTTACTCAAATTTTTGAAGATTTAACCCTTCTAGAAGTTTGTTGGGCTGTGTAAGAGGCTTCATTGATATACATTCCTCATCAATTAGCGAAGTAGTTTCAGCGTAATTCTTGATTTATTGAAAAAAGCCAAAATTACCCATTTTTGGGGTAATGTTTTGGTTGAGAATTTTGGAGAAAAAATTGCACCATATTATTTCTGATGGAATTTTAAGCAAGTTTTGTTCTCTTCACTTTTTGTCTAATCTTAACCCCATTGGAGAAAAACGTGTTTGAAAATTCAAGTTTTGATCGTTTTGTCCGGATGATTTACATCAGCGCTGTATTTCAATTTTGAACAAAATTTCAACGTTATAGAAAAGAAAAGAGTGGAAAAGAGTTAAATCTAATTTCACTTAAGAATAAATAAATGTTAATGAACGAAATTTACTATTACCGTGTTTGTCACTAAACAATTAACGTGTTTGTCATTTGACAGGTAATGGCAATAATAACGCTATTAAAGTTTTAGACATTTTTCTATTTGCAGAAATTTTAAGAATCTTTTAAGAATATAACTCCGAAATGGCTCTACAAAAAACTCCAAAAAAATTTTTATTTGAGTAAAATTAAGTTTTCAGGGCCCAAATTATGCAAAATAAGCTATTGTAAGCCTGCTTTTTCGTGCTATTTGCTCGAATTTAGACTTAAAATCAAACCCTCTAACCTGTTTTTCTCAAAACTGCGTCATTTTTTTTAGAAGTTTTCAAATGTAGTTCGAACCACGACTAAAAGGACTTAAATATGATATATCACTCCATCCATTTCCAAAACTAACTGTGATACCTAATTTTGCCAGGAAAACAAAAAAAAAGAAAGAACTAAAACCCGAATACAAAGTCCCCCCCCCCCATTTTTATATGGTCGGAACAAGCTATACTTTTATATACGTCACTGCAATTTACTAGATTCATCGGTAAATAGTCGAAATATTTAGAGGCACACAGCATCTGGCATTCTTCATAGTTGAAATGAAAAAAATACCAAGCAACCTTTGCTGATAGCAAGCCTCAATTTGCCGAAGAAAGATCTCAGAAACAACTAAGTCAAACATTAACACCACTAATTTGCACATCTACCAATTATTGGAAGTCTTTTTGGAATTTTTCAAGGTATCTTTTTTCATACGGAATAGTTGTGCTCGGGTTGATTACTTTTTCTTAGACAAATTTGGATTTCTACCTAGCCTTTTTTGCATGTATTTTTTTTAAATATCTGGAGTATTTTGATGTTCAAAGCTTAGAAAATTTCACCTGGGCTCGTTCGTTATCAAATTATGGGGGATTGAACTTGGTACTTTCTGTTCTATCATTAAAGTTAGGGTAAATTAACGCGCAATGTATTTCGTCCTATTGAAGCGTGAGTGTCAAACTAAATCTTTCCAATTTGAATTGAGGCAAGCCATTTGCTTTAAATAATACGTTACCGGACGCGAAATATATCAGTTCCTATTTAACATGGCACGTGGGGGGATAAGTTGCAACTAAGTCAAACTAAAAACTTTTTTATCAAATCTAACGGCCAGTCGGAACTTTCAGGGCTTGGCCCTGATATGAGCAGTATTGTTGCTATTTCAGAAAAGCCATGACAGGGAACTGATTGAGAGCATTGAAGTGTTTCCGAAGCAGGGCATTAGCAGCGCCTACTTCCCCTGGGATGGTCAGGAGACCTACGTCAAGCCCCTCGTGGCTGCCAAGATCAGACTAGCCCCAGAGGGGTTCGGCCAGCGCATCAGGATCGAATGCAAGGCTAAGGCTGAGTTAGTATTTCACTTTTGTTCAAGAAGTTTAAGTAACGTTGATCAATAAAACATTTATAACTCAAGAAATTTTCAATTAGCGTCAAACTTCGCAAAACAGGGTTTGATATTTTTGTCTCTTCAACCGTCTCCGTCCCTTCCTGGGAATTTTTTGTAATCTTCATTTTTATTCATGTGGAAATTGGCATGTGACTTCAATAACTTATTACAAAAGCATTTTGTTTTCATATACAACCACGTAAAATTATTGATAACACCGTTTTATTGAAACCTCTTACTGGTCGGCGAAAATGGTGCGAGTCAATTGTTAAGGGATAAATTTGGAACATCAAAATGAGCAATCAACAGAAATTTAGAAAGTATTCGTGCTACAATTTTATTAGAAGCAATTTATGAGCTTTTTGAGAGGTATAAAACGTTGAGGTTTTCTTTAAAACTGAAGTAACCACTGAAGATGCAATTATTTGAAACTATTTGATACTGTTTTTGGTGTCGGAAAAGCATTCTTAAACATTTGGTTTCTTCCAGCAACTTCCACCCTAACATGGCTAAGCCAAACAGCGGCCGAGCGGAGATCGTTGTGACCATCTCAAAGGACACAGCTGAAGAGCAGGTGGTGGAGGAGGAAATAATACCAGAAGAGAACGCCAACACTCAGAAGTAAATCTAGACCAAGATCCCACTTTTGGGCGCCAGGAAATCTCTTTAGAAATACCCCTGATAAACTTTGTACACATTTAACTCTCAGAACTAGAATTATTGACTCAAAATGAATTTAAACATACAACAAACTCAGATATATCAAATAATTTGCTCTGAAAATTAACTGAAACTTCATAATAGTGAATTTTAAAGGTCCTTATAATTTCAGCTAAAAGCACCAGTCGCGCATAACTACTAGTCTCTCAAAAACCAAACTGACAATCAATAGTCGTGAGACAAAAAAATTTGGATATTTTCCATAGTTAAATGTTCTCATTTTTTGCAGAAAGCCTGACAAAAACACAAAAATTCCCGTTACATTTCTACTTGTTTTTGAATGACTCAGAAAAATTTGGTAAAACAGTACCATAAATCCAAAAAGCGTTAGTTTCAGAAGTAGTACCCAATTGTTTTTTCACATTTTGAGCATAAATAATTATTTTTTTGTATACTTAGACAATTAGAAATTTGAGCTCAGATCATTAAATTATTGAAAAAGGCGGCTGGCTACCCCTCAGGCCATTGGAAAATTTGTTAGGAAGTAAAATAAATCTAGTTTTTTAAAAATTTAACTTTCATAAATAAAAAACACTAAAACACTAGTAAATCAAACACTAAAAGCATCATTAGAGAAAAATGCGCGCAACTACAAAAAACGATTTCAAGATGTGACAACTAAGCCGACAACAGATAAGCAGACAAATCTTTGACCGATATTTTTTCTTAAAACAGAAAATTTCCCGTTAGAAAAAAAAACAGGTCCTGTCAGAACTCAAAACCTAAAGCCTTCCACAGACATATTCGTTACCTCCAGCCTATTAAGTTGGCCGGAAACGCATAGAAGTTTGTATTCACTATGAACCAAGATAAAAGTGATTCTGTTGAACAAGTTATTAACCCGAAAAAAAGGCTAAATTCTGGTTTAATATCGCTTGCCAATCGCAAACTTAATACACTTTTTAGTTGTCATAATTATCGATTTTTTTCCTTAAGGTTGTTTAGATTTTCAACATATTCTTAATCATTTTTTTAAGCTTTGTCAGAACGACTGATGAAACTATTTTTGCCGCTTGGCTGGTATTATTTAATTGTTCTTTTTTACAACCCTCTTTGAGTTTACAACCGTCTCTGTTGCAATCGTGAAGTTGACACACTTTTTTCTTTGACTTAATTTCAATTTTCAAGCGGACTTTTAAAAACAAAATCGATTAAGAAAGTTTCAGCTATTCAATCAAAATTGCTGATATAAGGGACTCTTTGAAAGTAAAAACCGGGCAGCCTGCAGAAATGATCATTTCACATATTAAAGCAAAAAATTTTTAAAACAATTATCGAATCAACAGTAGAAAAAACCGCTTTCAATCAGTCATGTTTTTACTTACACCAAATGGAAATTGAAAAAATCTTTGAAGATAGAAACTTTTCAGACAAAAGGAAAACATCGCAACATAGCTTTTCAAGCAAGCAAAAGAAATTGAGGCTGACTTGACATCTAGAATCACAAGTTCAAATTACACTTGACAAAAAAATTCATACTTTTGTCACGATTCGTCTGATTTCAGGATACACAATAGCAAAACAATAGCAGCATTAAATAAGCAATTAGTATAGCCGGCAAAACTAGGGTGTACAAATATTCTTCCGAAAACAAAACTGTCAATGAAAACAATTTGCCATGAAACATTGAAATATTAAGTTAGAAAATTCGAAGCTGTTCCGCCCCACTCGTCTTAAGACATGAAAAACAACGCATTTTTTGTTTTCAAAAGACATTGCAAAGTGACCTTGACGATATAACAAAAACGGAAAATGCTCAAGTAAACTACAGCCATATACAGCCGGAACATTTTCACAGTCAGAGTCCGTATATTCACTAGTAGAAGAATGACTTTTGAACAATTTGGACTTGAACCGATAAAGATTAAGCAACTGTACTGAGCTTTCCACTAAAAATTACACTGATAATCATCCGGAAAAAAGGCAAGGATCTAGCCAAGGGTTGCGACAAGACCAACTAAACAAGTTACCTTCAAAGAAAAACAGTCGGTTTTAAACTGCTCTTTTTTTGCTTGCCACGAAATTAAACCATCGCACACTTTTTCAATGACGAATCTCAATACTTTATTCGATCCAAAAAAGATACAGAAAATATTGATCCTAAATTGAAAAACCTATTACAAGGGCTAATTGAGAATGTAAATACTAAGGATGATATCATTTTTGAATTGCAAAATCGGGTGCATTTTCTAGAGAATAAAGTTAATGAAATGGAAATATATAGTTCAAAAGATTGTGTTATTTTGCAAAATTTACCTTTACGTTCTGGAAATTTTACCCAAGATGTCCTGGCCTTTTTTAACGACGTTATGGGCTTGGAGGTGAACAGCTACGACCTAAAGGCACGCCATCCCCTCGGCCCTGTGAGTCAAAACCAAAATTGTGTGGTTATAGTGAAATTTGTCTACTTTGATATAAAAAACAGAATTTTATGCCAGAATTTTTGGTGTCAGAAAAACATTCTTAAAAATTTGGTTTCTTCCAGCAACTTCCACCCTAACATGGCTAAGCCAAACTGCGGCCGAACGGAGATCCTTGTGACCATCTCAAAGGACACAGCTGAGGAGCACGAGGTGGTGGAGGAAGAAATAATACCAGAAGAGAACGCCAACACTCAGAAGTAGATCTAGACCAAGATCCCACTTTTGAACGCCAGGAAATCTCTTTAGAAATACCCCTGATAAACTTTGTACACATTTAACTCTCAGAACTAGAATTATTGACTCAAAATGAATTCAAACATACAACAAACTCAGATATATCAAATAATTTGCTCTGAAAATTAACTGAAACTTCATAATAGTGAAATTTAAAGATCCTTATTTCAGCTAAAAGCACCAGTCGCGCATAACTACTAGTCTCACAAAAACCAAACTGACAATCAATAGTCGTGAGATAAAAAGGTTTTGGATATTTTCCATAGTTAAAAGTTCTCATTTTTTGCAGAAAGCCTGACAAAAACTCAAAAATTCCCGTTACATTTCTACTTGTTTTTGAATGACTCAGAAAAATTTGGTAAAACAGTACCATAAATCTAAAAAGCGTTAGTTTCAGAAGTAGTACCCAATTGTTTTTTCACATTTTGAGCATAAATAATTATTTTTTTGTATACTTAGACAATTAGAAATTTGAGCTCAGATCATTAAATTATTGAAAAAGGCGGCTGGCTACCCCTCAGGCCGTTGGAAAATTTGTTAGGAAGTAAAATAAATCTAGTTTCTTAAAAACTTAACTTTCATAAATAAAAAACACTAAAACACTAGTAAATCAAACACTAAAAGCATCATTAGAGAAAAATGCGCGCAACAACAAAAAACGATTTCAAGATGTGACAACTAAGCCGACAACAGATAAGCAGACAAATCTTTGACCAACATTTTTTCTTAAAACAGAACGTTTCCCGTTAGAAAAAAAAACAGGTCCTGTCAGATTCGAACTCAAAACCTAAAGCCTTCCACAGACATATTCGTTACCTCCAGTCTTTTAAGTTGGCCGGGAACGCATAGAAGTTTGTATTCACTATGAACCAAGATAAAAGTGATTCTGTTGAACAAGTTATTAACCCGAAAAAAAGGCTCAATTCTGGTTTAATATCGCTTGCCAATCGCAAACTTAATACACTTTTTAGTTTTCATAATTATCGATTTTTTTCCTTAAGGTTGTTTAGATTTTCAACATATTCTTAATCAATTTTTTAAGCTTTTTCAGAACGACTGATGAAACTATTTTTGCCGCTTGGCTGGTATTATTTAATTGTTCTTTTTTACAACCCTCTTTGAGTTTACAACCGTCTCTGTTGCAATCGTATTTGCAAATGTGAAGTTGACACACTTTTTTCTTTGACTTAATTTCAATTTTCAAGCGGACTTTTTAAAACAAAATCGATTAAGAAAGTTTCAGCTATTCAATCAAAATTGTTGATATAAGGGACTCTTTGAAAGTAAAAACCGGGCAGCCTGCAGAAATGATCATTTCACATATTAAAGCAAAAAATTTTTAAAACAATTATCGAATCAACAGTAGAAAAAACCGCTTTCAATCAGTCATGTTTTTACTTACACCAAATGGAAATTGAAAAAATCTTTGAAGATAGAAACTTTTCAGACAAAAGGAAAACATCGCAAAATAGCTTTTCAAGCAAGCAAAAGAAATTGAGGCTGACTTGACATCTAGAATCACAAGTTCAAATTACACTTGACAAAAAATTCATACTTTTGTCACGATTCGTCTGATTTCAGGATACACAATAGCAAAACAATAGCAGCATTAAATAAGCAATTAGTATAGCCGGCAAAACTAGGGTGTACAAATATTCTTCCGAAAACAAAACTGTCAATGAAAACAATTTGCCATGAAACATTGAAATATTAAGTTAGAAAATTCGAAGCTGTTCCGCCCCACTCGTCTTAAGACATGAAAAACAACGCATTTTTTGTTTTCAAAAGACATTGCAAAGTGACCTCAACGATATAACAAAAACGGAAAATGCTCAAGTAAACTACAGCCATATACAGCCGGAACATTTTCACAGTCAGAGTCCGTATATTCACTAGTAGAAGAATGACTTTTGAACAATTTGGACTTGAACCGAAAAAGATTAAGCAACTGTACTGAGCTTTCCACTAAAAATTACATTGATAATTATCCGGAAAAAAGGCAACGATCTAGCCAAGGGTTGCGACAAGACCAACTAAACAAGTTACTTTCAAAGAAAAACAGTCGGTTTTAAACTGCTCTTTTTTTGCTTGCCACGAATTTAAACCATCGCACACTTTTTCAATGACGAATCTGAATACTTTATTCGATCCAAAAAAGATACAGAAAAAATTGATTCTTAATTGAAAGACCTATTACAAGGGCTAATTGAGAATGTAAATACTAAGGATGATATCTTTGTTAGATTGCAAAATCGGGTGCATTTTCTAGAGAATAAAGTTAATGAAATAAAAATATATAGTTCAAAAGATTGTGTTATTTTGCAAAATTTACCTGTACGTTCTGGAAATTTTACCTAAGATGTCCTGGCCTTTTTTAACGACGTTATGGGCTTGGAGGTGAACTGCTACGACCTG